GCATAAACACAAAGGAAGATGAGGAATGGGTTCCTTCGTTGTCATTCTCTCAGTGCCTGCCTCCGGAGAGGATAACACAGCAGAATCCACAAAAGAAATGACTGAGAGTTGGATCCATGTCCTTTGAAACGTCTTGATTCACACTGGGCTTTAAGAGGTGCAGAGAAGAAAGAACAAGGAAAGACTTAGAAGTTTCTTTGGGGAGAGGTGTTGCCCTTGCTACCACCCCACGTGGGGCTTCCGCAGCACCACTCTGAGAACTTGAACTTGTTCCCTGCAGGCAGAAGGCTTGGAGGACAAGTGCCTGACTCCTGTCAGAGAAGGGTAAAACAACCTGTGGTGGCAGGATGCAGGTGGCATTTGGGCGTGACCTGTATACCCAGAGGTGTCAGGACAAGGGATCATGAGGGCTTTCCATGGGCCAGATGGAGGCAGCATGGAAGAAAGTCTGTGTGGGGGTCTCAGGTCCTGACAAAAGGTCTCCCTGGAGGAGCAGAAGGACCCCAATAACACAAAGCTGTATCTGGGTTGCTGAGGAAGGAGTTGCTTCCACAAGCTGGAATAGAGATATGCTCTGTCATGGGCACGGCACGAGAGGGGACTGCGGAGAATGGAATCTCCAAAGAACCCATGAAGGGATCCAGGACAAAGGACCATGAATCAGCCCAGAACATGCCCACATCTGAAGAGACAAAGCCACCAGCAAGCACCCTTCCCTGCTATCTGTTCCCCATGCCCACCCTCTTCCCACTGAACAGTAAAGGGGTTAAAGCCTCATTAGCAAGCTCCATCCTCCACCCCCATGCAGCCAGCCTGAACTGGGAGAGAGGAGGCTGGCCCTTGAAGCAAGTCCAGAGTTTTGATTTCTAATTTAGACAGGACATGTATTTCTCAACTGAGACATTGTCTGCAACCTAAAGTGACCAAAAGATGGTCTGTTACTCAGCATGGAACAGGAAAATCTTACTTGGGTCCAAGCTCTCATCCAGACCAGGAACTCTCACCCTTGGTTGCACACTGGAGTCCCTGGGGATCTTAAAAATAAAGTCCAAGCCTCATGGGGAGCCACGGAATCAGAATTGCTGGAGGTGGGCCCCAGGAATGTGTATCAAACATGAAATAAGATAAGATAAAATATAATTTAAAAGCCCCACTTGGTTCTAACGTGTAAAAAAAAAGAGCCAGATGCTACTATTTCCAGCACCAGAGAAGATTACTTCTAGTGAATAAACTTTAAAGGGACAATGAAAAGCAAAAATGATATAAAATTAGTTTGATAGTCACAAGTTGTGCTCATCAGTGTTCCAGAAAGATAAACACTGCTGTTCTCTAGATTTCATTTTGAAGCTGAAAGTCACCTTTTGTGCTTTAACCATAACCCGACACTGGACAGGGCTGAGTTCACTTCTAAACATGGGATCGGAATGATCAATCCAGTGTTTAGAAAAGTCTTTCCTCCCTTTCTCGGTCACTGGCCAGGTTGCCAGTGATTACCAGATGGGAAGGCACTAGCCTGGTATCTGGGATTCTGCTGGTGTCTAAAGATCTGGTAACACCTGTCCTTCCTCATGAGCACCCCGGCTGGCTCTGGTGAAGGAGTCTGCAATGTCCCAGCGCTCTGGAAAGCCATTCTATGGGGCACTTTACTACCTGCCTCATCCTCACCCCCTGTGGATGGTATCCTCTTGGCCTGACTGATACTGGTTCCCAGACTCTCTGCCTCACGAGTAGAAAGCAGTGCTTGCCACCATGACCAGTGTTTCCATGCCATATGGTGTTAAAGGCAATCAGAGCTGTAACTACATCCAATCAGCCCGTCCTCTTCCATGCTCATCCATTTTTTGTTTTAGGGACTCTTTGTTCATTTGTTTTGATCACTGCTTTCATTTATTTTGACACTTTTCTTCCCTAGCTCCAAATAGAGAATGAATTCCTAAGCCAGGTGACCATCCCATGGAAATCTCGGTTCTGAGCTGAATGAGGAACGCATACTCTCAGGACAGCAAAGCCGCCATTTTAATTCTTCTGGCTTTGTATGGTAATACAAACTGGCTTCAAGGTGATCCCTCCCAGGATGCCTCCTTCCTTGGAAGCCAGGAAACTCACAATGTTAAAACAAAGGAACTTTGAAGTATATAATACAGCATTGTTGACTATAATCACCATGCTGTACATTAGACCTCCAGAACTCATTCATATCTTTAAAAGTCCAGATCTAAGTGTTCTCACCACAGAATAGAAATGATAATTATTTGATGTGATAGAATTGTTAGCTAGCATTATAGTGGTAGTTGTATTGCAACATATAAATGTATTTAATCAACATGTTGTACATTTTAAACTTGAATGATGGTATATGCCAATTATATCTCAATAAAAATAAGTAATTTTTTAAATAAAATAAATAAATTTCAAGGGATATTTTTAAAAGATCTCATCAAAACAGCTGGGGGAACAAATAGCTGAAACTTTTTATCAGAAAGATTTGTGAGTGCTAAACTTCTTCATTCATTATTATATGATGACAGCAGAAATACCGAATGACTATAAACTGAAACTTGACCTGTTGTCCTTACTTGGAATGTACCTTTAGACCAGCAGGGAAATTATATATATTTGCTATTTGTTTATTTTTCTTTAGTTTTAAAGTGGGTAAGAGGGAAAGGAATCAATTCTAAGAAAGGCCATTATCTGTATGCTATGGCTACAAATCTTGTAAATACCCACAAAGATTCTATCTCACAAGCCAAGTGGGGTCAAGCTCTAATTGGTCACACTGGTTTATGGCCCACGAGGGCCATTTATATCCACTGTTACTCTGGCCAAAGCTCTTTCATTTCCACTTTCATTTATTACTCCTTGATAGCTGGTCCTTGAGTAAATACTTAAAGAGAAAAAACAAAATCAGTCTTTTCTAAAGGCAGATGTTTATATTTTAAAGAGCTGATAAAAACTAATAAATTAACAAGAAGAGGAGAGGAAAGGAGAGTACATCTTTATAAAATTGAGCTTAATTTTTATTTTTGATAAATAATTATTTCTTTTAAAGGGAATGTTTGAGAGACGGTTATTCTTATGCCAAAAAACAATTCCTTCCTATCACTTGCTAAGTTAAAACTAATAGAAATGATTGATCAATAAAAATGAGGCCACACGGATAAAGAGGAGTTAAGCTCTATCAAATATTGGCACCATACAGGAATGTTCAAAACAAAATACATCAAAATCCTACCTAAAATAGAAGCTACTGGCTTTACACAGACAGAACTGTGCATATATCAAAGCACACAGACCACTTCTAAAACTTTTAAATGCCTGACCTTTACCCTGAATCAAGTTCACTTCCAACAGTTTCAAAAGGCAGTTGGCAAAATTCAAATAAAGTCTGAAGTTTAGTTAACAGTAATGTACCGATGTCAGTTTCTTAGTTTTGACAAATGTACTTCAGTAATGCAAGATGCTACCAATAGTAAAAACTGAGCGTGAGGTAGCTGGGAACTGCCTCTAGGTCTTTGCAACTTTTCTGTAAATCTAAAATTATTCACAAATAAAAAGTTTACTTACAAACGAACAATAAGCAGTTGTCCCAAAGCAGTCTCTAGATTTAACTAGGAATCTGTATTCCCCCAAACATGCAGGAAAAAACACAGTGATCTAGAGATTTACTGCTGCAAATGTAGCCAAGCAGCTAACAATTAAGAGGAAGATTTAATGGGAAAGGTACCTGCCAGGGGTATCTGCATAAGGCGTCCAAACACAGCTTGTTTATATGCTCCTGAAAGGCTGTTTGTAAATCAACTTAGATAATTCAAAACTATATTTTGAAGACGCTAAAGAAGCTTGTGCATTTAAATAGCTGTTTAATAAATACCAGGGTAATTGGAAAACTTATTATGTAATGAGAATGATGGCGTTCTCATTCACTGTTTGGTGAAGGTGGCTTTGCACACATCACCTCTGTTCATGGGGCTGCCCTGAGAGCCACACAAGTATATGCCGCCCAAGGAGCCCCTGCCCCACGGACCTCCAAATTTCTGTTTTCCCTTCCCTCTGCCAAGGTGACTTTGGTTAACTCAGAACTATTATGGTGAGGAATTTAATTCACGTACAGGAACCAACATCCAAACACCTTTGACCTCCACAATGGCAACAGGTATTTGGGCAATAAGATCAAGCAAGTAAGAACACTCCACTGAACAACGGTTATCTGAAGCAGGTAAATGCATGACAATTGTTCTTGCTGTTACTGCAGCTCACACTAAAATTCTCCTGCTGGCCACAGAATGGACTCCTGATGTCAACCATCCTTTCCCCAACCCAAACCATTGGTCAGATGGTAACTATCACGAATTTTAGAACAACAATTCAGGATCTGATTAAAAAAAAAAAAGATGCCTCAACTCAGTCAGTCCAAGTTAGCAAAACATACTAGGGTGCCAGTCTCTCATCCATGGATGAGAGGGTAGGGCTGAATTCCAAATGATAAGGGAGCTAGAAAGTATATCTTAAATAGTTCAGGAGCCAACCAAACACAGTTCATCTGCTCACAGTTTTGCATGGGTTTTGCCATTGTCGGTACAAGACCTCATTAAACATTTGAGATTAAAAATACTATGTGAATATCAGATTATTTATCCCCCCCATCACTTTCTTGGGAAGCATATGAGTCTCTGCCCTGTGACTTGCTTTGGCCAATGGCACAGACTAAAGTGACTATGTGCCAGTCCTAAAACTAGGCCTTAGTTCTAGCTGTCCTCTTGTAATCTATACTCACCATAGGAAGCAGATCTCCTATATAGCTGCTGCTTTTTCTCTCTGCACCCCAGAATAAAGATGCATGGGACAAAACCACTCAGCTGAACTACAGGCCCATTAGCAAGACTAAACAATGTTGCTGTAAGCCGCTGGGTTGGGGGTTGGTTTATTGGACACATGATTTTGTCCATAGTTGGGTGACAGACCCTATCCTCTCTCCAGATGCAAAAGCATCAGGTACTCACCATCATCAATTCCAGGCCAGCCCATGAAGTGAGCAGAAATCTGTTTCTCATCCTTCCCATACTCGTTCTTGGCGACTAACTTGTAGTCGCCATTGTTCATGTGAGTGGGATTATCCAGCTGGAGGCAGCCGTGGTACTCCGTATGATTGGTAACATGGATTTTAGTGCAGATGTATTTGGACTCGTTCAGTATTGCCCCGTTATAGAACCACTGAAGCGCTGGCTTGGGGTTGCCTTTCACAGTGAATGGAATGCACCAGTGGTGGTCTGAGGTTGGAGATTCGAGAAATGTGATAGTTGGAGCAACTAAATTGAAAAAGAGAGAGTTAATAGCATCAGAAAGCCCATAATTTCTCCCATCTCCAGATTTCTGTGTCATCGATAGGGGATTTTATGCAACCCTTGTTTGATTTAAGAAAACACATGACCAGCAACCCTGGAATCTATCAGTATTTTGTATCATCATCAAGGCCGATTTAACTCCCTACAGAGAGTTTCAGAGACATGCCTTTCTCAGGTCTGCTTAAGACCCTTAAGACCCATGCGTCACAGTCATTTTTCACATCTATCCAGTGTGGGAACCAGCTCCAAACAGAACCCAGAGATTTCTGACAGTGGAAAGGGTTCAACTGAAGTTGACTTTAGTTTGTATGTCTTGATACTATGTAGATTCATCACCAAAACATTGATGGATACTATTTTTACAGTACTTCACTAAATATGACAAATAATGACAAAAATGACTTTAGAAATCTTGCCTGCAGCCATAATATCACATAAGTTATCTACAGCAGATCAAAATGATCAATGTGGTAAATGATGCTACCGATGTGGATTGTTTATTACAAAGTATGATAAATTGCTATTTTTCACTGATTGTCAATAGTCAATGCTCTTTAAAAGCATCACATTTCATTATAGTACAGTCCATTTTTGCTAGGATTTCAGATGTCAATGTTTTGATCCTTTAAATGTCTGAGGTCGTATCTAAACACACTAGAGATTCTTTTAACATTAAATATAAAGCACTTTATGCTTTGGGGAAGCAAACATTATCAAGTAGCATCTTTAAACAGAGTACTTATCCTAAGTGAAGGTATTTAAAACCCCTCATAATTGTTTATTTTAATGTGGTCTGACTTTGACAATTATATAATCAAGAAGTAAAACAGACTTTTAAGACCCAATAGCATCATTTTTCAGATGAAGAAACCCAAGTCCAACGAGGGTCAGTGACTTGGTCAAGGCTACTGAGCAAGGCAGATCTGAAACAAGAAATTCAGGTCTCCTGAGGCCTAATCTGGAAGTGCTACCCGCTCATTCACTTCTTCCTGGTTGTATGATCCTCACACAAAGGGGAAAAATAAATCACAGCCTGCAAACCAGTACACTCTGAGTGGGGTCTGGGAAAGGTCGTCTTAGTTGTTCATATTCTCTATCCCTTACTCCTTCTACTCTTTATCTAAACTTTGATAGATGAGGTTAACTCTTCAGACCATGGTGACCACATATATATTAACCTAAACTGGGACAGTTTGGACTTCAGTCTCCTTATTTGTAGGTTTGGTATAAACACGAGGATGGCAATGGGGTATGGACCACTTACCTTCCTCCCACTAGCCCAGGCCCCCATGCCCAGGCCTCACTTATTTCTTCCACCATGCTCGAATGAGCGTTGGTGAGGTGCTGATTAAGGACATAAAGTTGGAAGCTGGCTGTATATGTTTGGGGATAACACTGACTTCAGTAGGTCTTCTGGGTAGGTCAAAATAATGAGAAATTATGAATATAATACCTACTTGGCATAGTGGTAGTGCTGACAGTGATTTCAATCATCCACGCCAACAATCACATACTGAATGTGTGCTATGAGTGAAGGCTAACCAGTGTATCAACACCTATGTCTACATGTGGGTAGTGTGTAGTCATACATACACACATGCACACTTGTGCTTTTCTCACCCAAATCCTAATCCAAACAGAGTAAAACCCTATTAAATTATATCATGCCAGGTCAGGGTTTGCAATGATGTGAAAGGTATATGTGATTTTTACTGAATACATGTTCCCACTGAACACACAATCTGGAATGTTAAGATGTGTGTCATGTTGTTTATCATACTGGAAAATAGTGCACACATGCTTAAGAATCATTAATATCCTCTATCATAATTTCAATGTATACAGAAATTTAAACAACTATAATAATCAAGTTTTATGCAGGAGATAATTTTCAATAATTTAAGTAGGACTCCTCCAACTTTCCCACAGAAATGTGATGTCAAACTGATGAGGTTTTGTTGTATCAACAGTACAAGTAGGTGTTTATGAACAACCAACCCAATACTTTAGCTACCACAACTTTAAAACTTCATCTTGCTTTTATACAGAAAACAAATTTAGAAACTGGTTTATCAGAATTTAAACTAAAACAAGCTCAAAATATGGCCTATCGAGAGAGAGAGAGAGAGAGAGAGAGAGAGAGAGAGAGAGAGAGAGAGAGAGAGAAAGAGAGGGAGAGATTGACAGAGAAAGGCACAAGAGGACAAGCTTAAGATTCAAAAAGAAGCTTGAGGGAAAGACAACGCATGAGCAGCCGAGATTAGCAGAAATAGAACAAGTGAAAGAGGCTGATAACATTTCTTAATTAAGTATGCACAAAACACTTCATAAACTTTTTTAACACACTTAAGCAGCACCCAAAGTGCCCCAGCAACAAATGTAGGTGTGTCCATGATCATTTGCTAATTAAAAGCACATGCCGGTCTGATTACGTACAATGCACAGTGAGGTTCACAGAATCTTGATCTTCTCCTACAAGATTTTCAGCCACACAAGAGATTTGCTTTCCACTGTCATCAGATGAAATGTTAGTTATCCTTAAGGAGCCCTGTGTGTGGCTTGTTTCATTCTAAAAATGAATTAACAAAGATAATATTTATTAGGACTGATCCCAAAGTGACAAGATTTGGGGTTTCTTCTACTATCTAGAGAAAATAATTGATGACATTGGAAAATGTTTCCAGCCTAATCAGTCACAGGCAAAGGAGTAAATCAGAAGTTACTCCATTTCTCTAGATTTCAATTGTTTAATACACAAAGTTGATTTACTCCTTGAACTCCTACCTACCTTCCTCCAAGGGAAAAGGGGAGTCACTCACCTTGCTCACGATGACAAAAAGTTCACTAGAGACATAGGAACTCTCCAGTTTATTGGGTTTACATAACTAAAATGCAAACCTGCATTAGTCTTTGTTAAATAAGAATAAATAAGAAGGAAATTACACCAAAAACTCATCGTACATGGCCCTATAAAATATTATATGATCATCACTAGGTTAATACAATCTCAAGTTCTGAGACACCCTCGTCTCTCTATGAACACAGAGCCAATCACAAGCCTTACCAGATGTTTGGAAACCAGATTACCAACATCCCAGTACAAATTTGGAACTGGATCGCCTGCAACACTACAAGATAATGTGATAGACTTTCCTTCCTCCACAGTGAGGTTGGGTGCGGCCAAGTTTGCTGACGGCAAACCTGTGAAACGAGAAAAGTAAAGGAAGACATATACACATAGTTAAATGCATTATCAAAATAATAGCAATAAATTAAAAACTCTTTATGCTTTAAAATAAATAAGTATTTACTTTCTGAGACAGATTTATGTTGATCTGAAAAAGTTCCAGGTTGATAAGCTTTACAGATTTAATGTGAACCAAAAATGTGTGATAATAAGATTAGAAAACAAATTGTACACATTTCTTGAAAATATTATTGCAGAATAACTTTTCATTAAAAAAAGAAAAACACTAGTCTGTAGAACTATGTTTTCTACTTCTTTTTCTGTTCTACTAGTTACTACTCCAGTATTTTGCACATAAATAGACATTGTATCTGTGGACCATCTTCTCTCTCCCATCTCCTCCCCTCCATTTTTTTATAGTAAAGAACAAAAGAGTGAGAGGCATCTACATTTTTTGCACAAATCCATTTCTTGCAGTAAGTAACTCATAAATCTAACCCACTACCACACCTAGATTTTGAAAGAGTCAGAATTAGACTATGGAAAAAAAATGTAGTTTCAAAGCATTTTTCCAAAACATGAAGCTCAAACCATCACAGCATTACAACATTTCAACGCTATATAAGTCATACTTAAATATCATGGGTAAAATTGGTACCCTATTTGTGATATGATGAAAAAAGTTATATGGATGCTAATTCCAATGAAGTGTTCTTTTGTGGAAAAAACGCTGAGAAAGTATTTATTATCAGATAAAATTCTGAATCTTATAAACATTTTTCAATATTTCAGAGGACCTTCATTTTTGTACTTTTACATTTCAAAAGCTAGCTTTCCTTTATTGATGTTGCTATCACTTTATTAAACTATCACACCTATTGGGTGTTTACACTGCTTGTAACCACATAGGAGTCATAGTATTTTTCACATGCAGGCGGGTCTCACAGGGTGTAACAAGATGTCAGGTCCTGCCAGTCAAGCTAGTCCCTTTCTTGGTATCAGAAACTCTGCTTAGGACTGCATTCACCCTAACAGCTGTGTCCCACAGAACTATGACACATCATTAACTCAGGAGTAACCGGAGGTCAGAAAAGCTAATTCATCTTCAACAGCCATTAAATTGCAATTGACCCACCCACCCAGCAGTATCTGACCCATCATCTTCACAATACTATGAATAAACCCTTCCCTTATGATGCAGTCCTTACTGACTAAGCCATTATTCTTTGTTACTAAAACCAGACTGGAACAAGATTTATATAGCATATGCCTCATGTACTCCCCCCATTGGCAGAGGACTTTCCAACAAGATCTGGCTTCCAGTGACTTGTGTGACCTCTTCGGAACTTTTCCTTCCTGTCAGCATCCAACAGAGAGCGATGCTATATCTTTCATTGGGTTTCAAAAAGGCCCCTAATTCTTTAAGTTGTACAGGACAATGAAGCATATACAAGTGACCAAGAAGCAGCACGGTTAACAGGAATGAGCACTAGGCCAGGAGTCCTAAACCTGACTCATACTATGTGGCCTTGTGTTAGTAATTTCCTTTCCCAATGTATTTGCTCTTAATTTCTATAAAGTTAAGCTGTTCAAATAGCAGATCTAGCTCTGATTTCTTCTAGTTCTAATATTTGGTGACAGCTTCCATGACAATTAAGCTTCCCAATTTATTAAGAAGTGTGTCAAGGCAAGATATAAGATTTTAGTGAAAAATCTCCTTGAAGTCAGTGGTACGATCTAGTTGACTTTTTTAAGCAATGTATTTTTTTTACATCAAGATCTATAGTCACATAGTTTGAAGAGTCTATAATTCTACGAAACTTGTTATAAAAACATTCAAACTACTGTGTGAAAAACAGTAGCCTCACCTCACCCATGTGCCACTATTTCCTGTTCCAAAGAGGCACTCATTTCACCTCTTTTAACTTCTTTTTGGGGTATTGATCTCTATATCACAATGCTTACATTGCTACTTCTCGATTTTTCTGTTGTAATTTTACCTGCTGACCTCTCACGATGGAAGACGAAAACTAAGCTCACTTTCATACAGAGGGCCAGCCTTAGCACACTCAACATACTCTGTCTTCATATCTTTGCATGTGCTATGAAGTTAGGTTGTCCAGGTGAAGCTTATTATAAAAATAAGCTTCTAACAGCTGAGCCATCCTACATAACTGTTACATATTATCAGTTTTAAGATAGCATTAATTATAGAATACAACACTGTGATATGTTCCACTAAGACAAAAAAAAAAAAAAAAGAACGCCAACTCAACTATGATGCAATGCTTTCTCACCACTTAGATCTCCTATTATGCGGATGTTGCACCTTCTGGACACTCCATCAAATGTTTTCATCCTTTCTTTCCTGTTTTCTGTATTTTTTTGTCTATTTGTTCTATTTACAGGGAGATTTCCTAAGATTTATCTTTCAAACCTGCTTTTGAGGTTTTCATTATTCTGTCATATTTTTAGTTTCCAAGGCTCATCTTTCATTCCTGGGTGGTCTTCTATTGTTATAGCACCCAGTTTTTCGTTCATGGGTGCAACATCTCTTCTGATCTCTATGAGATACTAATGATAATTTCTTTTTAATTTTTCTTCTCTCCATATCAACTTTGTTTCTTGTAACTTTTTTCTTTCTCTCTTTCTTTGTGTTTTTCTTTCATATTATAAGCTTTTCTCAAATAGTTGGTCATTCTTGGCCATTTACACATCCATAAGAACTAGGCATTAGAAGCACTGTGTATTTATTAACCATCCACTTCATTGTAGGACAATATTATTGGCCTATTTACTGGGTACTCCCTGATGTCAGTATTATTAAATCATTTAGGGGAAGGGACTGGTCAAATTATTCAGATAATGTTCTTCCACTGTCCTGCTTGGGAGAGGAAGAAGGCTGGAAATAGCACTATACAGTATGTAAATGTATCAATTTCTTGTGGTTCTCACAGCTTCAACTCTATCTGGAGTTCCTGATGACATTTGTTTTGTCCTCTTTAGATAATAAACCTGAGAAGGGAGGGGTGCAGTTACCTGGGACGTATGAAACAAAAATGGGATTAATTGCTTTTTAACATATTTTCAACCAATCTCCTATACTCTCACTTCCTGAGCCTTGTAGCAGTTCTGCAATATAAACCATGTTTCCCCTTTAAGTCAGTTACTACTCATCCATCTGCTTCCCAGCTTGATATCTGTGTGTTTTGTGGACTCCTCTGTCATCTTCTTTGTAGATATATATCTGCTGTATATAGATAGATAGATAGATAGATAGATAGATAGATAGATAGATATAGATAGATAGATAGATATAGATATAGATAGCTGCTGACTCTGGAGGGGCCATAGAGCCAGGGCCTGCCATGGTGCTTGTCCTTAAGGTATGATCTCCCCCACAGCCAGACCCCACCAATGGAGCTTGGAGACACCCCTCTTGGTACCTCAAGTATAAACTTATGAGATGAATTTCCTACCTTTTATAAATGTACCTCATAGTTTGGAAATTCTGAGCAGAAAAAAGTCTTAAAAAAAGAAATTCTCAGTAGAGAATTCTATGCCATAATCTTAATTTCCCCTATAAACTCTAATATAGTGGGGTTGTTTTTTTTCTTCAAGTCTAAACTTATACGACTAACAATTCTAAAACTGTTTGTCTAATTACAGTAACAGTAAGAGCATTTTGGGGGCATTCACTGAACCAGATCAGATACTCTTATCTAATACTTTAAATTATTGTTTTATTTAATCCTTACAACCAATCTTAAAATTAATGAAGACTGAATTTTGGAAAAGTCAAATACATCTTCCAAAGTTGCCCAAGTACCTGTAGTCCTGAGTTTTGAAGCCACAGCTCAGTCTTCACAACTACACTATCCTACCTCTCCAGACTGCCTATACCCTATTTAGCACAGACCATAAATACCGAAACATATCTATGATCTAGGAATTTGGTTCCTTAAGAAAATAATTATGTGTCTATTTATGAGGGAAGAGTGAGTCTCCTTTATTTATAGAGAAATTGTATCACCCTGTCAGAGCAGTTTCCAAAGGAATCTGTGCAAAATTGGCCAAGTCTAGATCTTTTAAATGTAAAGTCTTCCACAAATGAGTAAGCGTCTGACTCACGTTAATTCTACAGCATTAATATGCTGGCCAAAGACTCAATAATGGAAAAAACAATCTGTACTTGAAATATCACTTGAGGTTTAATTAGCACAATAAAAATGAATTGGGAAGCATGAATAGCCAAAGCAGGCTAAACCATTTGCCAGGCACTACTTCCTGGCTTAATCAGATTTGAAATCGGCATGAGTACAAAGCAAAGCTCAGCAATGCTTCCAAGAGCGTCTAACACTACTGTAATGGGATCCTGATCTCAGCTTGAGAGACTTCTTCCTCTGCAGTCTGAGAAACCTCACTGGAGATAAGAGATGACCAGCTGCCCAGGCAACAGACACCTGTGTCAATGTCTCTTGACCCGGATATGTTCAGGAAGGACATACCAGCCTGTAGACCTCAGCAGAAAATCATCAACCATCCAGGGAAATGGCTACTTTTCTTTAGACCAAGGCTTCCCAAACTTTCATGCACATATGAATCATCAGCAGATCTTATTAAAAATCTTGTTGCTTCTTTTCCAGTATGTCTGGATTGGGGCCTGAGGGTCCCCATTTCTAACAAACTCCCTGTTCCACAGACCACACTTTGAGCAGACAACAGGTGTTGGACAATTGTTCACTAGCTTCTGTGTCTATGGCTATTATTTTAAAGCCTGTCAGGGGCCTCAGCAATCATCCAGTCCACCAAACTTTCCCCAAAGTGTTTAGTGTGTTCTTTAGAAATCTAATTCTTTGAGATACCCTGTATTTAAAAATGATGAAAAATCAAGATTAAAAAAAAACAAAAAACACACCATATAGAAAATTCTGTAACTCTGATGTTCACTATGCACATTACCACATTAAAAGCTCTGAGAAGTCCTGCTCGAAAGGAACCATTTAACTTTCAT